AAAAAAACAAAAACAACACAACCAAAACCAAAACCAACCACTCCCCCAAAAAAAACACAAATAAAAAAAGCAAAACTTGACAACTACTGTCAACTACTTTCTAAATGTGGCCGTAGAACTGAAGACTATGCAGGCCATATAGATGTGGCCGTAACAGGGGCATGGGCTCAAATTTAAACAGGAAAATTGGAACTTTGTATTTCCAAGAAGACAGAACAAGCTTAACAAAAGTAGTTTAATTTCAAATTTGCATTCCTGTAAGCATATTCATTCCCTATAATAATAGCTCTTCCTATAGCATCTATAAAATATTTTATGGATATTTTATATATATACATTGTTTGTATTTGTATGTACACACGTTTCAAGAGCTTTTGCACTGTGCAGAATTAACACAGAGCCATCCAGGACATGTTGTCATATTCACAGAGCAAGACAAACAATTCTTGGCATTAAATACACAAACCTGATCAGATTGAAGCCAACAGCAAAGTTCCAAATTAAATCATTGGGGTCAGAATTTGATTCAAAATAAGGACTTTGAATTAGGAAACAGGAAGAACTAGAAAGTAATGACAGAATGGACTAATCCTTCCTCTCCCAACAATATAGAAACACAACACCACAAAGATTGTTCACACTTTTCCACAATAAATATTTTAATGGTGTCATCTTTTTCTGCATCTTTTTTCACTACCCACTACGATTTCTAGAACTCTTTGAATTTATTCACTGTACAATTAAGAAGGAAAAAACCAACCGTCTTATTATGTCACAGTAGAGCACCATCACTACATCTGACATGGATTTACTCCCCAAACAGAAGTGTAACCATGAAAATTACTTCTGTAGTTTAAGTTTCTCTCCAAGAGCCATAACATACATTGCAATCATCATATGTAACTACTTTATCTAATATACTACTTAACTAATATATAGCATAAAACAATCCAGTGAGTGTACCATAAGGTTTCTAGAGTGCAAAAATCCACTTTCAATACATCTCACTGAAAACTGGAAAATGAGCAGTTATTTATTAATCCATGTAACTGCAGCATCTCCAAAACTTTCTTTGGTACCATTTCTAACTCTGAGGCACCAGCTCCTCTGGGGTTACCTCTTCAGAAGTGGATTCTCCTTTTACGAAAATGCCAGAAACAAGATCACAGTAAGTCACATTTAGTATTAACCAGATCCCTCTTTGCTTTCTACCTCTCTTCATTTTTATTCTTGACCTTATTATAGTACAGATTTGTTACAAATGCTAAAAGTTCAAATCCCTCAGGAACTGTATCAATCGGTTCAAAATGTCATCCTCATTCTTTAAATTAATAGTAGAAACTCTACTGACATCCACAGGGCTGCAAAGTCACTCATGTGCACTTTCTGGTTCTTTTGGAGCTATCACCTGGCTGTGATAACAATGCATCCCTGGTAACACCAGTAAATTTATGGATCATTACAAAGACAGATAGGAGCTGCACTGCTGTGGTTCATTTGACTTTCTAAAACTTAATCCTGGAAACAGGAGCACACAGCAGCTACACTGCTAAAGGCCTTCAAACCTAGAACTGTCGCTGGCCCCCAGCCAAGAGGCAGAGAGTACACTGGCTGCTGAAATAAAATAGCTTGCCTCTGTCCCGCTTAGATCAAGAATACTGTGGGGTAGGTAGGTGAGTATGTCCCCCTACATAGTCTTTGGTTCAGAGGTCTTGTGGACACTGAAACATAGTTTTATATGTTTTTTCAGTCATGCATACTCGAAACTACAAGACGACCATGTTGTCACCCAGCAGAGCGACGTTTTCGTAGGTTCAGCCAAAAGGTGTATTTGTGTTACACAGCAGCATCAGAGAGGTGCTCCTTAGAATTATATCATGCTTGGATTAATCTAATGAAGTATCTCATCCAACAGTGCTCTGACTTGCATACCCCACGAACTTTCACAGTACATTCTTTCCATAAAGAATTTTATCACAAATTCTTTCTTGCCATGAAACGGCTGACTACATTAGAAGGAATAAACTGAAACTACTTTATTTATTTTATTTTCCTATGGAAGGCTCCTTTAAGACTTTCCCTTACAATGTCAAAATAGCATGAACATATTTTCATAGAGTTATGCAGAAATTCATGCTCAGGACATTTTAAATTTAAAAAAAAAATCCTAATTAATTTATGAAACTTGCACAGACTGAAACAAAATACTGCAGAAGTTCAAATGACAAACTGATTAAAAGCTGCTCTGCTGTTGACTCTGGCGTATCTCACAGATACAGTCTCGCAGCTACGGGCCGAAAAGCTGTGGAGTTTTACATAACTAGAGGTGCTAACTTTGCAAAAGCATATCCATGTGCTTGCCCATATAACAATCCTTACTGCATAGAAGTTAAACACGAACAAAAGTGCTTGCAGAACCAGGGCCTTAGTGAACCATTGCAATCCTTCAACAGTGCTCTGCACAGCGCGTGCTGCTTTTGCCTTGGAAGTCAGGACTTTCCAGCCAACTGTAACAAACACAACTTTTGACGTGCACAAGAAAAAAAAAACCACAACATGGTTTGTACAGCTTGTGCAACTCTGATGGGATTTGAGAAGATGTACTAGTATTTATAAAAGGATTCATCGAGTGCCAGCAAGAATCTTTCTTATGTCAAGATAAATAAAGTAATTAGCATTTTAGTGGTTCTGAGAATAAAAATCCATGTTACCACAAAAAAAAGGTGCCATCTATGTGCTAATCTACATAAGATGATCATAAACACGTAAGAAAGAAAAATAATCTTTATAAAGCTCTACAGTAATTTAGGCTATTTCTATAATGTTACAACAGAATCATTTCTGAAGAGAGTAAATTACGATCAACACTTTTTAAAGGGCTTCATTAAAATGTAAACATGTTTATTTTAGATTGCATCCCATGGTTTAAGCAGATTGCTGAAATTAGTTCCTACAGAATGCTGTACAGATGAAAATAAAATTAACATTTATCAATTCTTGCAACCTTTTTTAATAATTCTCTTTCACTTTGTACTTAGAAAGAAAAATACCTCAAACCCTGACCTCTGTAAGATAAATGTAATACATCCTATTAAAAATAATCATATACTATTAGACACTGATACAGGCATAAAGAATAAATCTGCTAACCTGCATTTCATACGTAACAACAAGAGCAGCTACATTGGCACAACTTCCTACTAGTTATTTTAACCCAGGAATGAGTCATTTAACCTAATAGTAAGCACATCCCAAGCAGCTACTAGCTATCATTTGTTGAATTCCAAATATTCCCAAGGGTCTAAAGAAAACGTTTGTAGTGCTGACTCATAGTGCTGTCCCCAAGTCTAAAATTGGAGTTTTGGAGAAGTCTTGGAGAGGAACTTAAAGATTTAAAGTCATACTCTCTAGAAAAAAAAAAATCCACACATGTTTTTGGCCCAAATCCACACCTTGAATATAGGATAAATGTAAAAAGGAAATTTAGATTGAAACATTTGTAATGTATACTAGGAAGAGCCAAGAAAATCAAAGTTAAAACTAACATTTGATCTGTAATTGAAAATAAAGTGTGATTGCCATGTCTTGCTAAGACTAAAATGAAGTGGTTTCACATCCCCCTGGAGACCTGGGAATGGAGCAGCAGATGCAGCTCCACACTGCGGCATGGGAAGGAGCATGA